GATAGATAGATAGATAGATAGATAGATGATAGATAGATAGATGATAGATAGATAGATAGATAGATAGATAGATGATAGATAGATAGATGATAGATAGATAGATAGATAGATAGATAGATAGATAGATAGATAGATAGATAGATAGATAGATAGATAGATGATAGATGAATGTAAGTTAATGCTAAATTTGAGACCTTTTATATATGAGAGTATGAGAGTTTTGGGCCAAATAGTCTTTGCCTCACTCTTCCTCTAACATCTTTTTCTCTCCTGCCTTGACTCATGATAAACCCTGCACCATATACATATACATACACACACACATATACACTCATAAAAACATATATAAAAATACCTACTCACATATACATACACACAGAGAACGTACATAGATATGTATATATAATTGCTAGACACATGAACACATTATATTAGAGTCTATTACACCAAAAGGTATGTATAAATTTTGTGTCTTATAGAAGAATCAAACAGTTAAAAAATTTTAAATATGTAATACTCTTTTAAACTGCATTTTCTTAGTTTAATTTCTGCTATATCAGGAACTCAAAAATCAAAAAGGGGTTGTAGTTGTCTCATCCTCTAAGAGCCTAAATTGAGTCCCCTTCCACAGGAAAATTGTTTTACTAAAATATTTGTTAAAACTGTTTAAATGTTTTCAAAAATCACTCTATTGTGACCCTTCAATCAATTATCTCTATTCCCCTAGTTATTTCAAGATTCATCAAAATCCCACTCTCCCCTGAATATTAAACTTATCTAACTCCCTCTTAAAAATGTAGTTGCTATACTATGAGGCTGTGAAAAAGAAGCAACTCTTACCCTTTGCAACAGCATGAACAGACCTGGGGGTTATCATGCTAAGCAAAATAAGCCAGTCAGAGATAGACAAATACCATATGATCTCACTTATATGTGGACTCTAATGAGTAAAATAAACTAACAAAATAGAACCAGAAGCATGGGTACATAGATCAGACTAGACTGACAGATGCCAAAGGGGCAGGGGGAGGGGCAGGACTGGATAAAGGAAGGTGAAGAGATTAGCTAAAGAACATCTATGCATTGCCCCTGGACACAGACAATAGTGTGAGGAGGGCTAAGGGGGGG